GTTGTTATGAAGTTTTGGTATTGTTACCTGTATAATACTGAATATGATGCTAATTTGAATTGCCGATATCTAACAAATTAATGATATACATATATATATAATAAATGTATATGTAAGTTATATATATGCTTTGTACTTCTTAGTATAATGTCATATTGTAATAAAAGCTTACGTTTATGACATCCTTATATATGCTTTCTACTTCTTAGTATAATGTCATATTGTAATAAGAGCTTACGTTTATGACCTGTTGAAGTAGTCTCATACAAAATAACTATTCTTATTAGCCTGCTAAAGTTGAATTTGCTGTAGAAATGTAAAGTAGATCACATTAATTTCTACACCTGTCTTTGCTAATATACAGAGGTGGTATGTATTTCGGTGATGGGTTTCATATTTGTATTTTTAGAATGGATAGTAAACAAAGTCGGCAACTGAAATATTATCAAAGAAAAAAGGCAGCAGAAGGGAAAACCTTCTTATAATTTGTTTGCCTTTTTATTCTAGGTACAATATAATCTGGTAAAGGAGAACACATGTGAAAAACAGTACTCATCTTCATCAAGGTGGAAAAATATGACAGAATATAGCCCGAGTGCTAGATTTTTAACACAAAGTTTTCAGTAGTTATATTTTCAAGAACTGTATAAATCATACTTAAGCAGATTTTTTTCAACATTTTCCAGTTGACACTTAAGAACGCCTTACTTTTGAGAGTTAGAATTTTCCAACGTTTATATTATTTTTCCTCAGGGATATTATTCATGTTATAAGTTTAACATTAGTATGTAATACAACTGACACTGTTTTCTCCTTGCAGGTGTTACTTTTTGTCTCACCCTAGTACACTTACAGCCTACAATTTCATGTATTATTACTATACGATTTATGTATCTTCACGAAATTATACAAGTATTCAGTAAACAATATAAGTATGTATGTATGTTTTCTTATAGAAAAGCCACATCGGGCTATCTGCTGTGTCCATCGAGGGGAATAGAACTCCTGATTCTAGCGTTGTAAATCCGAAGACTTACCACTATCCCACCGAGGAATAAAAAACATTATAAGTCTTTTGTACAGAAAAAGTAAGAATTTCTAATAAAGTACTTTTGCTAAAAGTTAATGATTAAATAAAGGAAGATGAATATTGAGTACTACATGTTGTCTTCATTTCTTTTATCAGAAACATTACATACAAATTAACATTAGAAATTAACAATAACAGTAGACAAACAGATAGAAACTTTTTTTTATTTTACTTCTTTTGCTTGGTGCCATTTAGTTGAACAAACCTAAGAATTTAAAAAAGCACTGTAAAGTGTGAAGTACTTAAATAAAAGAATGTTAGTAATATAGATAATAAATTACAGACAAGACTGTCAAACTTTGTTAATACTTAATCGTATCGACTACTATAATGAGATACACATTTTGTCACAGTTGGAGATCCACATATGTCAAGTCTGTCACCATTTGCCAGAATGAAATTGGCATCTACTGCCTAGAATGGTGGGTTAACTTTTATGGTTTGATATGTTGAAAGATCTACCAATGTTCTGGCCACTTCTGTGGTAATCCTGTTGTAGGTTCTCCATCAACTTTTGAACACTCAGTTGGAACCAGAAATGTTGGTGTCTTTGCTTCATAGCAAAATATGAGCAGCTTATTGGTCAATGCTGCAAGAAGCCACAAGGTGGAAGCATCATCAGCATGGTCTGCAGCATACAAACCAGAGGGCAGGCCTGGATAATCCTGCATGTTCACTGGAAAGCAGTAGGGTTGCATTGCAGCACTGTGATGACTGGGTAGATGGTTAAAAATTCGGATGATTCCAGCTTGATTTGGTAGATGAACCTGAGTAAGATAGTATTTTTGTGTATAGCCACAGTAGTTTTCCCTGCAGGCTTCTTTCACCCTCTTTAATAATTGGTTTAACATTGACATTTCATGCCTGGTTGCAAAACAAACTGCTTTGGTTAGGGAAGGGATATCTCTCACCTACATGTTGTACCCGATGGTCTCGCCAGAAAGTCCCTTGTCAAAAACCGATCCACAAGTATGTCGTTCTTGCTATTTGCTGCAGCCATCACAGAGCAAGCTCCACCATGCAGAATGTACAGATCATCCATTCAAGTGGCCAGACCCTAGGCAATCCTCTTCCAAGATTTAAATATGGTCCAATAAGTTACTTGATTCTCCTCTGGATTGAACTGGTGGTGCAACTTGACTATGACTATGTTCTGGTCATCTTGTTGCACCTCAACTAAATGTTTGAAAGATTCCAGCCACTCTTGTTGGTACAAGGAATTACATGTACACAGTGACTCAGAAACTTAAAGGAGTAGTCAGTCCCTGGTCCAGGGAGTGACAGAGTGATGAGTTGCTCTTAGCAGCTCCTTCTGTAGTTCCGCGTAAACCCATGGTTGTCCTGGTAGGATATTTCGTGGCTTGGAGAAGCTCACGAATGCCTCATGGTTCATGTTCTTTCCTGTTAGTGCACACTTTCTCAACTGCTCAGGAAACAGCATTCAATGGCAGAAGTCATCGACTGCTGCACATATAGTCCTTCTCAGCTGGGGTTCTGTTACACTGTCTGATGTTGGTCTGGGAATTCTGTAGATAACTCACCACATTGTCTAAGACTCTATACGATATTCCACCTTGGAGATCCTCATTCATCTATTGTTATTGTGCCTAAAGTTTATCCTCAGGGGCAATATGCATTCTGTCATTATAGGCACACAAGATGTCACAGGGACTTTTGCAGTATCGGCAATTGGTCTTATGTACAGAAGAGAATGTGTCTAACACCCAAAATCTGTCTCATATAACCATTTTTCTCAAGTGACAAACTCTTCTTCTCTACCTAAGGAAAATAAGGGTAAATATGTACAACAGCAAAGACAGAAACCCCTGCATTAAAATCCTGTGGTTGCGGTGCAAGAATGTCTCCTTTACACGTATTCTGTGGTATTCTCAGACTAACTGATTCCTCAAAGAGCGTTAGGTAGATCTACTTTATAACAGGAGGATCAGCAATATAAGTAGGGAAATAAGCTTGAACTTAACTAAAGAAACCGAGTTCAATTAACAGACTGGACACAATGTGTTACACAATATGAAAGCAATACTTACTTAATCTGATGGGCAAACATAGCGTGTTTCTGGACACTGGATAGTTATCTGCTAGAGAACTTGTAAATGGATCAACATATTTATTTTTTTATCCAAATGTCTTCCCATTATCTGACCTATTTGAGATCCTGGGTAATAAATATTTAGGTTTAATGTTTTTTGTTTAACGAGAAATGTTGGATTAACCTGTGGTAACTAGTACTCTCCACGTGATAATTATTCTAAATCAACATAGGGGAGGCCGTAACTTTTAGATATCATCTGATCTACTGGTGAAGGACGGTGCTGTCGTTCACGGTCTTCCACAACATGCAGCGTTATAGTAATATCAATCACTGACAAAACAGATATTATCTCTAAAGAACAACAAGGGAACAAAGACAGCTAAAACAAAATCAACTTAACGATTTTCTATACCACTGCATAGACTTTGACAAAAAACATTTTAAAAATTTCTACATTAATATATGCTAGAATATGCATGGTGTGTTTGCGTACCACATACATATATATATTATCTAAATGAAAGAGTTTCAACGTGTCCATGTATTACACATATAATTCTTGTCTGAGCAGTTATATATTATACTGTGATATTTATAACACTGTAATATTATACAAGATTTTCTTAACAGTGCAATCTTATGGTTTATGTAAAACGCCTATCGATATCTATTAACTGTCATATAATATCATACGTTAATGAATAAAAAATATTAAAATTATCAAGGTGTTCCACATATGGCGATAAACGATAAATGTCATGGTTATTTGTTCACCTTATACTGAAATAATAAATAAAACATATCCATCCGTAATGTTTGCGTTACAAATATATTATAGATAAAACTTGTATCACATAATGAATTAATTACGAAAATTGTTTATCTTTATAAAACGTAGAACTAAAAGCCAACTTAGGAAAAGTAGTTTATGGTTCCATAACAGAAGTTATCTGTTTTTTTTTCCCACAAGGATGAAAATCAAACTTTAAAGTTACGTAACATTTATCCATAAGGAAAATGGAAACTAGATGTGAGATGCAAACGTATTCTATGTTTCTCATCCTGAAAATAGGTGAGTTAAAAGGAAAATGGAAACTAGTTGTGAGAAGCAAACTTATTCTATGTTTCTCATCCTGAAAATAGGTGAGTTAAAAGGAAAATGGAAACTAGTTGTGAGAAGCAAACGTATTCTATGTTTCTCATCCTGAAAATAGGTGAGTTAAAAGGAAAATGGAAACTAGTTGTGAGAAGCAAACTTATTCTATGTTTCTCATCCTGAAAATAGGTGAGTTAAAAGGAAAATGGAAACTAGTTGTGAGAAGCAAACTTATTCTATGTTTCTCATCCTGAAAATAGGTGAGTTAAAAGGAAAATGGAAACTAGTTGTGAG